GGCATTTTCCAGCCGCTCCTCCGGCCCCGCGGTGCCGAGAAGGGCCCCGGGAGAGGGCGAGCGTCCCGCCGTCCAGATCTGCAGGTGGGTTCCATGCGGAGGGACCCCCTGCCCCGTCTGTGCCCTGCCCGGCTCGCTGTGGCCGATGACAGTGAAAGGTCAGAGCTGTTGTCTGCGGGTGCCCAACTTCCCCATTGCCATAACGCAACTTTCAAGAGCGTGTACAAACTGCTTCGGTGGGGGCAGGGTGTTCTGGAAAGGGCACGCAGCAAGACTTGATTGACGGGGTGTAGAAGATGAGAATTTCGCTCCCGGGGTTGCCCACTCGGGGAAGGGACCGACCCTCATCCTGTTGCAGGCGCTGAGGCTCTGCTCCGCAGCCGTGGGTGCAGGCGTCCCGCTGGCAAGCGGCGCGGTAGCTCGGGGTCAGGTCAGAGGGTCACTGCAGCACCGTCCGCACTAGGAACCGCGGTTATGCCTGTCCGGCCTCGTGATAAGGGAGAATAAAAGACTTACAAAATCTCTGTTTTCAGGTAATGCGTAAAACATTGCTCTTAGTCATTTGTGGGTTGTTTCCTGTGAGATACTAAAAACGCCGTCGCTAGAAGCCCTGAGTCAACCCATGGCAGCTGTTTCTTTTGTGGATGGAATCGATGCATTCCGTGTCGCAACGGATGTTCCGTATCTTACATTTCTGCTTATTTTATAGTGTCTTTTTGAGAAACAATAATCCAAGCTCCTAGGTATATGATGTCCAGGTCTCAAGTACAAAGTTTTAGTGATCTTTTTTCATTTACCCCCCTTGTGTTCTGGTGACTTAAGTGCTGGCTTTGAAATCTGTGGACATCAAAAAGCTAATGCATAAACCTGAAACTCTGTTTTGCGTAAACATCTCTTCGTCTGTTCCGTAATTCAGGGCTTTCAGAGAGACCAGTCTTGTGATTCCTGAACACCTGTAAGGTCAAATATTTTGGGGTACATCTGAAGTTTCAAGTAGTGGATAATAAATTATAATAACGTGCGTTTTCTTCTATTGGAGGGCTCTTAGAACTTGTCGGTGAGGAGCCCATGCGTTAGGAAAGGGAGTATGGGGCCCAAAAGAATAAACTTTGAAAAAACTAGGGCCTAATCACATGGAGAGTTCCCCATGATTTTAACGAAAACTCACAGGATGGAGGGCTGGTAGGAGAGGAATGTTACGGCACAACTTTCAGAAGTTAGAAGAGTGAAAATCAGAACAGAATATAATCAGATAGTATCTCAGGGCTCAGCTTCCCTAAATAAAAACTGCAGGATGAGTTTCTCAGCACAGAAGTTCTTGACCAGTGGTCGATTCTCCCTGCTGAAGAAAGTAATTTCCGCCCAGAAAACCGCTGACCCAGTAAATAAGCAGTAGTAATACATTTTTTTCCTGTTGCCTGCTGAAAGCTGGGAGCAGCCTGGTGTTTCTCTGTCGGTGTAGGTCTCCTCTGCCCTCCCTCCATCAGCCGAAGGGAAGGGAGGACAGACCAGAGACAGAAACAAAGCTTGAGGGTCTCTGCTACAGCAAGGACACAATAACGTATCAAAAAATTTGAGGCTGGACTCAACCAGCTATTGAGCATCTTGGTCATGATCCAGCAGAGCATAAATGTGCAAATATATGCCTTCCTTGCCGCTAGTCACAGGTTTAAAATTAAGCAAGTGCTTAAAGGATTGATCCCGATGGTCTTTTCATTAAATTCCCTGGGGTTTGGCTGAGGCTCTGTGTGGCAGCACCAGGGCACTACAAACCTCCCAGATCCGAGCTCAGGCACCTTTCTGGTAATTTTCTTCTCTTCTTTGTTTTTTATTGGGTTTTTTTTTTGGCAGAACTTGCAAACTTCCACAAAAAGGCAAGAAGGGAATTCCTTAAGAAAGCAGCTTTGAAGAAAATTCTTGCTTTACCTTAAGGCATTACCAGAGCTATCCTAGATTTCAGAGCTTTTCAGAAAGGAAAAAAAAATATTGTGCATGAGCAGTCAGTGCTAATACCACAATACAGATTTGTGCCTCCTTTCCTGCAGGAATGTGTGAATCCCAAATAATTGTTTGAGCTATGTTAGCACAGAGCCATCCCAGGGGATTCATGTCCTTAGCTAAAGGGAAAAAAGAAGTCCTGCAGTTAAATGAGGTAAAATTCAGGCTCTACTAAAAACAGCAGCGGAACTTAGACCAGTCGGGCAACAGTCTCATCTGTCATATTTATTCATTTCATGATGTTCAGAGAAATGATGTCCCCAGACTGAGTCCTCAAATTTACATTTCCCAACAGAAAGTTGACTACATGTAAAATCCCTCAGGTGCCTTTTCTAGTCCTTTGGCCCTTGGTGAGACAGAAATTCTCTTTGTTTCCAGTGGCACGAACAGTCAACGCTCGCTAGCTCAGGTTTACAGTATGGGCTCATATATTTTGGGGGTCTGTGCACAGATGCTTTATGGCAATGCTGGGGTTCTTCAGTGAGTGAGAGGTAAATCCAGAGGTTATCCGTGTTGATGAGGTCACTTACAGTTGTTAATAGGTAAACCTTAAAAATCTTGCTGGGTAAAAAGGTGAACTTTTTTTACAGAGATGAAAGCATTGCTAGATGTTGTGGACAAACCCGGATTATTTGAAAATGTGAAGAATATAATAGGAAACCCTAGGACTTTGGGGTTGTGGGCATTTGGCAGTCTGCACAGACATAACCAGCATTTCTGTGAAATGATGAACCCAGTCAACTTGTCGGTTGTTCTTTTGAAAAGGTGCAATCTTTATGGGTCAATCATGTTATGGGAAAGGTATTTCTTTTATAAGAACTGCATGGATTGAGACACATGACCCAGCAATTCATATTCTGTCCAGTAGAAGAAAAATGATGTGTCCACACAGATACCAACGTCCCAGTGAAGTGTTAGATGCTTTTACAGTAATGAATACACACGGGTGATACAGAGATTGTCATCTTTATGCACTATTCTTTGAAAAAAAATTAAAATAAAATAATTTGCATATTTTTGGATACTCTATTAAGTCCTTAAGTTTTAAGCTGTTTCTTTTTAAAAGAAAAGGAGTGTGAAGTCCTGCTCCTCTCATGTCAGAAGTGGATAAATCATTCACTCCACTGGGACAAAAAATCAGGATGTAATCCCTGCTCTAACTTGACCAGTCTTACGCTTGGTTTTATTTTTCCTTCTACTTCTTCTCGTTTGGATGCTTTCAGAGTACCTTTTCCTTCTCCAACGATCCTTTTGTTCCCGCAGGGAGCCGGTGGATGAAGTCCTCCAAATCCCCCCTTCGCTGCTGACATGTGGCGGTTGCCAGCAGAACATTGGGGACCGCTACTTCCTGAAAGCCATTGATCAGTACTGGCACGAAGACTGCCTGAGCTGTGACCTGTGTGGCTGCAGGCTTGGGGAAGTGGGGAGACGACTGTATTACAAACTGGGCAGAAAGCTCTGCAGAAGGGACTATCTCAGGTACACAACTCGCTCATTCTACTCCCACTCCCCTTCTTTCTGTCATTTTGGCGTTGCTTAGTTGTTTACTTTGTACAGCTAGTGATCAAAGATCCATAAAGAATTCATTTTTGATTACTGATAAACATAAAGCCTGTGGCAGTAGTCAGTTGTAACGCAGCACCATTTGCAAGCTCAGGTTTACAGTATGGGCTCATATATTTTTGGGGTTTGTGCACAGATGCTTTATGGCAATGCTGGGATTCTTCAGCGAGTGATAGATAAATCCAGAGGTTGTCTGTGTTGGTGAAGTCACTTACAGTTGCTTATAGGTTAGACCTTAAAAATCTTGTTGGGAAAGAAGGAAGTATTTTTGAATGGAAATGAAAGCATTGCTACATATTGTGGACAAAAGAATCACAGACTCACAGAATGGTTTGGGATGGAAGGGACCTTAAAGATCACCCAGTTCCAACCCCTCTGCCAGGGGCAGGGACACCTTCCACTAGACCAGGTTGCTCCAAGCCTCATCCAGCCTGGCCTTGGACACTTCCAGGGATGGGGCATCCACAGTTTCTCTGGGCAACCTGTCCCAGTGCCTCCCCACCCTCTCCGGGAAGAACTTCTTCCTGATATCCAATCTACCCCTCCCCACTTTCAATTTAAACCCATTCCCCCTTGTCCTGTCACTACAGGCCCTTGTAAAAAGTCCCCCCCAGCTTCCTTGTAGCCCCTTCAGGCACTGGAAGGTGCTATAAGGTCTCCCCGGAGCCTTCTCTTCTCCAGGCTGACCAAGCCCAACTCTCTCAGCCTGTCCCCAGAGCAGAGGGGCTCCAGCCCTCGGCGCATCTCCGTGGCCTCCTCTGGACTCGAGAATTATTTGAAAATGTGAAGAACATAGTAAGAACTCCTAGGACTTTGGGGTTGTTGGCATCTGTCTGTCTGCACAGACATCACCTGATAGTTCCAGGTGAACCACACTGTGTTTAGAAATTGGGAAAAGGTGATGAATTTCAGCGAGCTCCTCCTCAGTTGACAATGGACCAATGTTCCCCTGAGTGGTTTAAGAAGTTCTGTGCTTCTCCAAGCACTGCCTTGGAGCCGAAAGGTATATAAAACTAGGTGCCAAGATTGGCAACTGGTGAAAGATTGTTTAATTCTCTCATTTAAGAACACGGTACCCAAGGTAACTGAATTCAATTCATTTTCCTGATGCAGTAAGAACAGCCCTAGAGGAGGTTCTTGACTCCACTAGCCGGCAGGGTTGCTGTACCTGTTTGGTGTCTGACGGCAACTGCCTTTTATACATGGGTCGATCCCTGCCTTTTTCTGCATCACTGATCAAGTTATCCAGGACACTTCAAGCGGAAAGATGCAACATGCTGTAAGCTTTTTTCAGAGCTACCGCCAGTACAGGGAAGTTTGATTGCACTAATTTGGATCCAGTGGATTTTCAGTGTTCTTAAGCCTGGTCCTGAATAGACAAGAATTTACCCATTTTCCTGAATCAGATCCTACAAATACACTTGTTAGGCAGAGCGGTGTTAATGAAAATACCTCTATCTGTTTTGCCAAAATTTGTAAGGGGAAGGCTTAAATGGAGGTTAAGTTATTTCACAAAAATTGATAGCAAAGGATCTTTATGTTCTTGAGGACAATTAAAGTGTGTTGATCTTCGCTGTGCTGGTTGGGCACCATTTCTTCTAACGGATCCCTAATATGTCAGGAGATCTGTGCAACACAATAATACTATTTGACACTTTTTTAGCTACCTTACTGGAGGTTAATTTACCTGCCAATAAAAACTAAACCCAAATCCCAGTGGAGTTTCTAATTATGGTGTCCCTGAGCTTTACTGATGGGAAATTTGCTAAGCAGAAAGTAAGAACTGAGTTCTGCTAATGGGAGCACTTGTAAACACTCTACATACACAACATTCCAGCAGTGTTAATTACATTTCCCAAATACATTTCATCTTAAAAGGGAAGCGACAGAAAGTATGGCAATATAATTAATGCATTTTCTTGCAGTGAAAGTCAACGTTTTTATGTATTTAATAATGCAACGTGCAATATCTTCCTTTTTTAATGAAAAATTTTGCAACCTTTGTGTAGCCTTAATAGTACTTTCACTGGGCAGAAGTAAACACTGACATCTCCTGGTAGACAAAAGAAATTACGTATTTTCCCCTTAAAGATGTCTTAATTTAGTGAGCATCCTTTTTCTAGTTTAGAAGATGATGTGAAGTATGCGCAGCCTATGTGTGGTAGGTGGAAAAACTCTTTCTAGAATTAGTGTGGTACCTTAGAAGTGGAACTCAAGAGATGTATGCTTTGGACAAGTAATACGTATCTTTTCTCCCCCATTTTAAGAAAAAAAAAATCATGCTTATTTATTAATGATTTGATTTCCAAAATCTGTAGCCATCAGACTGCACGAAAGGCTGGCGTTCACACAAAGCTGAGTGTTGCATTTTTCCAGCTGAATGGTAGTGCGTGCTGCCAGGGAATCTGTATCTAGTGCATTCCTTAGAGGCTCCTTTAATAGACAATTGCATCATGATCTCATCGTAAGGGCGATCCAGATCACAGAACTGTTTGGGATAGCACAGGTGTCTAGAAGGTCTTGGAATCTTGGCATCTGAAGGTCTTTCAGAAGGTATCCTTCTGAAACCTGTCAGGAGTGACTTCATGGATGTTTGAGTTGAAAAGAACCTCCAGTGTGGACGCACTGGCACGAGACGGGAGTATTAGGCCATGGCTTGTGCCAACTTCTTTCTGTAAGCTACAGTAGCAACAGCTGAAGATAGGCAAAATTCATCAATGGAAAGGTAATTTCTATCGATCACAGAAGTGGCAGTATTAGCATGGCACAACTTTATGCTGTGATCTGGGGAACCTTTACTCCTCCTGAAGCTGCTCAGCATTTCGGGATCATTGATCAGAGAAGTCAGTAATACTGAAAATAGGTGAGGACTTTGGACTTTCTACTTCCATTTTTGGTATTGCCAAGTTTTCAGCTTTCCATGTGACCGTTCACTGTGGCAATACTGTGTCTCATGGATCGAGGCACTGATGTTGTGTTCTTGCTTTGATTTGCTTCTTCCCACCTCCCCAGCAAAGGAACTCTGCTGACTTCTCTGCTGTTGTTGTTTTAGGCTCTTCGGCCAGGATGGCCTCTGCGCCTCCTGCGACAAGCGGATCAGGGCGTACGAGATGACCATGCGGGTGAAGGACAAAGTGTACCACCTTGAATGCTTCAAATGCGCTGCTTGCCAGAAACATTTCTGTGTTGGGGACAGATACCTCCTCATCAACTCGGACATAGTGTGTGAACAGGACATCTATGAGTGGACTAAGATAAATGGAATGATCTAGCCAAGACGTGGCCTCGTAGCCTATAAAAGACATCTCTGGGTGACACCAATGCATAGCTGCCCTGAGGAGATCATCACCTGAGCTATGGGCTTTGTCTAAAATGGGGGCAAAACACCACGGAGTCGGCCCTTGGCAGGCAGTGCTACGTAGAATCTAAACTACATATAGGTGAAGAAGGCAGACCGAAGCAATAGTAGATAGACTGACTTCTGTTAACAAGGGCGTGTAGCTTATAACTATAACTTGACATCAGCCGCGTAGGTGAGCGCTGGGGAACGAACACAAAGCGATAATGAATTCTTGTAACTGGACAGAGAGTAGGGACGTCCGTACAGAGATGCTATGACTTTGTCACCTGCAGACTAGGAGTGTACAACTGAATTTTCTTTTCGTCTTGTTTTTGTTACGGAGTTTAGACAACAGCTCCTGATGAAGACTTGAGGAAGAATACTGTAAGACAAGGGCCGTCACTTAAGTGGTCATTCTGTATGGCCTTACACTTTGGGTAGGAGAGAAAGCAGGAAGAGGGTAGGGGTTATTTTTGCATGGATTTTTTTTTCCTTTGAGAATGAACAGTGCATCCTCTAGTCCCACTCTTTAAAAAAATTCTGCTGAATAGTTGTTTTCAGACACTGCTGTTTCAAGATGAGATGTTCCACAGATCATTTCTATACGAATATAAATCTAAAGAGTTGTTCAGCTATTTTATTAACTTAGATTACATCAATAAAATATTTGTTGTGTGTAGTCAGATTCTGCAGCTTTAATAAAAATAACAGAAGATTTGAGTATTGTTATTTCTTTTTTTTTTTTTTAGTTGGGTTGGACTTTTTGTTTGTATCATTTGTTTTATTTTTTGTAGCAGGGTTTCTGCACTTTTTCTACAGCTGACGCCTGCTGGATCCACTTAAGGTTGTGTTTCAAAGCAGTAATGTGAGAACACTGAGGTCTCTGTAAACCTTGTAGAGTTCTTCATGGTAAGGAGAAATTAGATAGTGGTGTGTGACACTGAGGCTCTTTGGTGTTTATGAGGGTGTTCTGAGGTTTGCAGCCCACAGAGAAATACTTTTGGGTGTTACATTGCCACAAAGACAGAGCCTATCTGATCTCAGAGGACATCATGTAAGATTAGGATCTCCTAGAAAGGTTGCTCTTCCTGATTTTGCTCTAGATCATTGAATCCAGTATAACATCACTAGAGTTAATCCATACTGGCTAGTATTTACGAAGAATTAAGTTCATAGCCTTTCCTGCAAAGACTGTTGTCACTTGCTTCTTAAGCAAAAGGAAGTTTCTTAGCACTGTAGTAATAATAAGAACATGAGAAGTATGCCTGGTCAGGAAAACGTGGACATTTGGTATCTTACTCCTACAGAGACAAGTAGTGGGTTCAAGTGTCATGGTTTAACCCCATTTGGCAACTGAGCACAACACAGCCGCTTACTCACTCCCCTCTAGTGGGATGGGGGAGAGAGTTGGAAGGTAAAAGCGAGAAAACTTGTGTGCTGAGATAAAAACAGTTTAATAGGTAAAGCAAAAAAGCGTGCACACATGCAAAGCAAAACAAGGAATTCATTCAGCACTTCCCATTGACAGGCAGGTGTTTCCATCTCCAGAAAAGGAGGGCTCAGTCACGCGTATGGTTACTTGGGAAGACAAACATCATCACTCCGAACATGTGTCCCCCTTCGTTCTTTTTCCCCAAGTTTTTATAGGCTGAGCAGGGCATCATATGGTCTGGAATATAATTTTGGTCAGTTGGGGTCAGCTGTCCCAGCTGTGTCCCCTCCCAGCTTCTTGTGCACCCCCAGCCTACTTGCTGGTGGGGTGGGGTGAGAAGCAGCAAAGTCCTTGACTCTGTGTTAGCACTGCTCAGCCATAACGAAAACATCCCTGTGTTAACACCGTCTCCAGCACAAATCCAAAACACGGCCCCATGCTACTATGAAGAAAATCAACTTTATCCCCTCCAAACCCAGCACATCAGACAAATGGAGTGACCTCCACATGAAGCCTTTCCAGCTTGCAGGAATGTCCAACAGACTTTGTGTGAGCTTGCCTTCAGACCCCTCTGCTTAACACCGACCCACAGACCCATTCTCTGTGAGTTTGTTCAGTTTTTTTTTTTTACTCTATGGCCTCCATAACATTCTAGATTGTAATATTCAATGATTTTCACAGTTTAATTCTATGCTGTGTTTATATCAAATCCTCCTGCCTGATAACTTCATTGGCTGACCACCGTATTGTGAGAGATTATGAGCAGTCTATTCCTATTGCCTTTTTTTTCACTATTCTTGACTTTGAAGACCTGTATCATATTCCCTCCAACTTATTTTTTTCTGAGATGACTGGTCTAAGTTTCTTCTTGCATGAAAGCTGTTTCACGCCTCTGATAATCTCTTTCTCATCTCTGTATGCTTTCTGGTTTTACATTACCCTTTTCGAGAGCGTCACTGGAACTGCATATTGTGTTCAAAATAAAAAAATAAAGCACAGCTGAACAAGTCTGACAGTCCACTCAGAAGGTAGCTGGCATGTCCATTCACACCAACAGTACCATCATGTAAGGAATAGCACCTAAGCATATGGTTGTCTATTTGTATTTGTCTGCTTATTTTCAATAAACTGAAAAGAACTGTTTATTTTCAATAAACCGTTTATTTTCAATAAACAAACAGTAGAAGTATTGGTTAATCCTGCCACAGGATCTCTCATCCAAGTGGCAGTGTTAACCAATGACAACATTTTGCATTTTACAATGGATATTCTGAGAGCTCTTTTTTTCTTGCTTTTGTTGTCAGAACTAGCACTGGGGGCGAAATCTTTAAATCTTATTACCAGTGAAGTTGGAAACTACACAGAGGACGTCATGAGATCGTGCTTGAAAAGTACAGTTTGAGGGCCATCCGATTTAGCCCTTCTCAAGTGATATGCTGACCTCTGGAGGCCATAGGCAGCTGGTATAATTATAATTCTTAGCCTAAAATGTATTCTTACCAGCAGAGTCAAGAAAGCTATGTACCCAAGGAAAATAGTCATCATCTCTCTTCATCTTCAGCGGCTCCTTGCAAATCTTCTGTCCAGCTAGAAACAAAGACTCGGTGTGCCTGTCAGTTTACAGAGCTGGGTGGATGTCACCAGGATGCTCACGCAGGGTGGACGCGCACAGTTGTTCTTCAGGTTGGAGTGAGGGAGCTCTGTCTGCACAGTGAGCTCTGCACCACCAGACAAGGTAGTACCAGGAGCTTTGTGGAAGATGCTTTTAAAGCTTTCCAGGGCATCATGCCCTGCCATGTCATTGCCATGTACCTCTCAGAGCGCCTCTTCTTTCACCCCTTCTTCTTTTCCCCAAAAAAGATACCTTGATAGCAGGACAGAAGAGTGATTATGGCTTCATGAACGTGGCAAGAAAATTTTGCAGATGATGGCAATCAGCTATAAAGCTGATTTTTCTGTAGTCACATGCTGATGATGGAGCTGAACAGGTACCAAAGGGGGTGTTGTACACTGGGACTCGTCTCCATCTCGTGGTGCTGAAGGGTCTCTGCACCAAGACCATGTGTTTCAGATCACGGGTAGCAATCTGCTGATAGTCCCGACCATGTGAGGGGCAGCGGGAGATAAAATCATCTTCCCTTTCACAAAGTAAACCATGATTTTGACTTTTCAGAATTGCTACAAAAGAAGTATTGAGTCACACCCTGTTCTCCTATAGCATGGTGGTGTAATTGAGTCCAAAATAGCTGCAATCACAGACTTAGACCAGCATAACGATAGCATCAATGTGGTCAGAATCAACGGGTACCACTACACGTAAGAGTTTTGACACATGTTCCCTAAACCCTCCCCAGTGTAACTTTTAACCTCACTCAGGCATGCTCCAGGGTTGATTTCCATGATTCCACCTCACAGAGAGGTTTGACTGAAAATTTAGTGCAAGGGGCCTTGTTAACATCTTGGCTGAGACTAGGTAAGGGTGTCAGTAGTTCAGGGAGGCCTTGTGGTTTTGCACTAATGAGAGCAAAATCCGTATTTTGTTCCCACCTCAGAAAGTGTTTCCTATATGACTTTTGGCAATGTAGTTAAATATTCTGCTTCTCAGTTGCCCACCTGTAAAATGCAGATATTATCACTTATTCTGTAAAATATAATTTAATGATGTCATTTAATGTATATCCTAATGGAAATTCACTCATTATTTTGTGTAGTGTATCATTTACACAGGAAAATATGTTTTCAAACCTAAATGGATATATTTATAAAGGAAGGATCCTGCAGGTTCCACAGTGGATATTCTTATTTTGTTATAAGATCACCAGTTTTATCTAGTCTATATAACTTCAGAAAGGGCTTAAACTGAACTGGGAAATGACAACTTGTGTCAGAAGAAGAGCCTCCACTTGAGCATTAGAATTGCTCTGCATATAATTATATATATACTATGCCACATATATATATACACGTTACTCTATATACTCTATATATACACATTACTCTATATATAACTATACCAGTCTGCTGGCGGACTTCTTCCCACCACTTACTCTCCACATTCAGGAGGACTGTGAACAGAATTCTCTTGGAATTAGTGTAACCAGCACTTCACCTCCATCCTCATCTTAAGTAGGTAAGGACTCTCTTGAAATCACAAGAAAATAAAATGTTCCAAAAATAATGGCAAAAATAAAAGCAAAGATGATTTAAAGGCATAGGCAAAAAGCACAATAAACTGAATATTACTTCATCAGCTGATATTCAAATGCATTGTCCTTTATATGTTTTCAATATCAGCAGTATTCTAAAAGGCGTATCATCCTTCAAGATTTCCCTTCTTTGTCCCCATTATTCAATGTCATGGTAGGAAGATGAGAGCATTACCGTCGATATCACTTTTTTAATTCCATGCCCTTGAATAAGGGCAATAAGAGCCCCACATAATAGAGTTTTCAGCGGAGAGAGTAAATGGGAATCGGTTGTTAATTCAATACAGGATACAGAAGCTCTCTCTCCCATCTCTTTTTCTCAGGGTATTACTGTGCCTCCAATTGTCATTATACCCAAGAATCAAATTATTTGAATTCTGGACACATCAGCACAAAACTGAAGACTCCCTGCCAATTTTGTAGCCTGCTTGGAAGGGAACATCAGAGAGCATCACTCATTTATACGCCTGCCATCCCGAGACTGTAAATTCAGAAAACAAGGTGGCCTCAGG